GTAGATTGAAAATGATGGTGAATAGTGGTGGATTGTGATATTGGTCTGAGATGTGTGTAAATTTGTTTGTAGTGACTCCACATAACCAAATATGTATTTGTTGTAACTGTTGGTGACCAATTTTTTGTTCATCGTGATCGATTGTGACTTGGTTACAGTTACGATTAACCTCGTCACCAACAATCACATTGATTACAAATTTGGTCACATTCACATCAAAGACGAATTTGGTTACTGTTAATTATAGATAATATATGTCAGTGAATTGGTTACATACAGTTACAAATTAAATAGTCACATACAGTCGCAACGAAAACTTTTGACACAAATAGTCACATAAAACCAGATTGAGTTATGAGGGATAAATCTAGTCACTGGTATAAATTTTTGGAGATTTTTCTACAATAGAGTATAAAGAGAGAAGTTGCTTTAAATTTTTGGAATTTTTTTATTGCTGGAGTTAGAGCAGTTGTCTGAGCAATCGTCATAACAATCGTTAGATTACTCATCAAAGCGGTCATCGAAGTCGATGGCTACTTGCAATGGAGAGAAGGGGAAGAGAGATGACGAGAGTAGAGAGAGAAAAAGAAGGCTTGGATTTTGAAATTTGGTGTGATTAATTATATTATATTATAATTAAAAAAATAAAAAATTGATTTAATTACCTGATTTTTGAAAAGTTTTATGGAGTTTGTTGGCTTTGAAATGTGTTTCTTATATGTAGAATTTATGTATAGTTCCCCTTTTTATTTTAAAATTTGTCTTTTTAAACTAAAAAACAAAATAATAAAAACACAAAAAATAATTTTTTCTTAAATAATTTATTTACCATCTAGGCTTTTCTACCAAAACTCCAAATATCAAAAGAAAAAAAAAAGCAAGAAAAAGATGTGTTTGATGCAAACTTCGAATTTAGATTGTAGCCTTATTTTTTTTCCATTTTGGTGCAATTATTTGTTGGTAACTATCGGATATGTATAATGATTTTGGGAAAATCAACTATATATATATATATGTATATGTATATGTATGTATGTATGTATTAATCCAAAATTGGTACGCAATTTTTTTAACTCATTTCAATATCTAAATCGATCGACCAAACCAAATCGACCTAAATCGATTTGATTTTGTTTAGTTCAATTTTAACGCTAGATTGGATTGATTAGGGTTGAAATTTATTCAAATTGATCAAGTTGATTTCGATTTCGGGTGGGACTCAAAATCAATCTAACTCGAACCATGCCTAGGTGTAGTTGGTTCTAATGGAGAGGTTTTTCTTCATGTTAGGAAATCCAGTTCAATTCCTTTTAACCTAAAAGTTCTGAAGTAGAAATTTGAAAATCGATTTTTGAATGGATCAATCGTACAATGGTCATGTGATCCAGCCCGATCCAATAAAAGACTCGGATTGTCGGGCTTTCACGTCGAGTTTAATAACCATTGTATGTACATTTATTTGATTAATACTAGTAAGATGCACATGAAATGCTGTGATTGAGTATATAATAGCGTAGAAAAGATATAA